TGAAGACTCTAACTAAGGTACTCTTTTTGTGTTATCTTTTTATTTTAGGTAAATGAGATTTTTTTTCATCTAAACATTGACTCATCAGGAAGATATTTGTAATCATTTAATATTTATAACAAGTTAATCTAAATAAATCTGTCAAGATCTACTATATAATTCTTAGTTATTTCCTTCCAGTAAATTAACTGCTACATCTATGCTACATATATTTTGTGGGTGCAATTTACAGGATTCAAATAGGAAATGATTATATCCCAAAAGCCCCGATACCCCAACTACTGTCCTTCAAATACATTCTGTATTGAATGAGCACCTTAATATTTTGAAGGTAGGCTTTTTTGTGTGTGTGTTGTATTTGCATGATTTTAAAGCCTGGAAAATTTTAGACTCAAAATTAGTTACATTTCAGTAATTAAAATGTCCAAGAGAATATTTTCTACTCTCTGAATTTTCCTAAAATATAGGGGTTTTTGGTTTGTTTGTTTTTCAATTGGCCATTTTAGATCTGCTTCACTCTAGGAAAAATCCAGAGGTAAAACTCTATCTTAGTTCCACTCAGTCTTCAGATCTCTGGTCAGTTAACTTTATTTGCTCAAACATTTGAGGTTAAAAGTGGCATAGTCCCATGTATTGGGCACAGTTAGTAGTTCTGGCTTTATGAATGATGAAATTTGAGGAAGTTTCCATAGTTCACTTTGAAAAAATTCTGTGAGATCTTTCCTCTATATACTCAAGGTGATCAATTCTTTATGAGACATAGTCAATCAAAGAATCTTTCCAGAAAAAGTACACAGATAATAGTTACAAGCAGGTTCTTTGCCTGGGAAACTCTAACATTAATAACACTGATTCATGTAACACAAATTTCAAAATTTTTGTTTTGGGAGGAGAAGATTGGTTTGTTTTTTCTTGCTTCAGTGAAGATACCCTTTTATTTATTTTTTCATCTATTGATGCATTTCAAATATACATGATGATAACATTCATCACAGGGAATTTGTACCTGTGCATGATATACCTTGATGTTTCTTTTTTCCCATCCTCTCTCTTCTTGACCCCACTTTCCCTCCTTATTTACAAAATTATTTTATTTACACTTTTTTTCAAGTCTTGAAGAATGGAACATGGGGATATTTTGGACCTATTTTTTCCATTGTTGATTTTTGAATTTTTTGCTGTATCTCAGAAAAAAAAAAAAGCTTCATAACTCCCTATTACCTTTATTTGTTGTTTGTTTCCTGTGCTAAAGCAGGCAGTATTTGAGCAGAGAAATTATATATTATCCACTGTGTACTTAGTAGCAACATAGTTCTGAAGCAGTCCTCTAGAAATGCCTTGAAATAATAATTACTTCATTCATAGTGGTCATAGCCCACAATTCTACAGAGAAGGATAATTGCAAGGATGAAAACAACTATGTGCATTAAAATGAGAGGGAGCTCTTGATAGAAGTCCAAACTGAAAAAAGTAAGTATCAATGGCAACTCTGAAGGAAAGAAATGAGATCATAATTGACAGTAGTTCAGGAGCTAGAACTCATAAAGAAGGAAAATTAAGATTGAATTTTTAAGAAAAAAAGGAAAAACTCTAGAAAATGTCTTCTCAGTCTTAAAACTATTGACCTCAACAATGGAAAAATTCGATGAATGTCTGTCTTGAACATTGTAGATTGCTTAGCAGTAGCCCTATCCAATACCAATAAGACACACACACCAAGATTCAAAAACCAAAATTATCTCCGAAGATATGTGGATGTCCCCTGCTGATAAAATCACACTCATAACACTAATGGAGAAAATTCTGAGTTCATCACACTCATTCCCAAGGTGAAGGCAAATGAGAAAGTACTGAAAGTACAGGACGTAGGGAGGCAAAATATATGACCCATTCTGTCACCTGCAAGCATGGGAGGGAGGTTTAAATTAAGAAACTGTAAAGAGAAATATTTAAAAATAAAATTATTAGCAAGATGCGTGTACAAACAAGAGCTGCCATTGCAAATTGCCAAAGCATGGTAGGAGCCAGTGTTCCCTTAGCTATTCAAGATGGGGGATGAGCACTCATCTTGGATTATTCATTATACAAGGAAAAATTATTGATAGGGTGTGCAGGATGATGTTGTTGATGATAAAATGGGATCTGGGGGAATTATCAGAACAAAAATTGTAAGTACAATTGTATTCTTAATTTACTAAAATGCAAAACTATGATTTCTGCACTCATCTTTTAAAGTTAGCTATTTTTGCAGAGAAATAGAATTTTTAAAATAGGAATTTAAGAAATAGTTGCACATGGTATCAGTTCTTTCAAGAATGCTAAACAATTGAACGATTTCAAGGAAATTTCTTTTTAGTCTTTGAGAACTGAGCAAAGACTGACTGACATTTTAACGGAGTCATGGCAGTAACAGTTTAGCCACAATCTCTCTCTCTTTTTCTCCTTCCATCCTTTTATTCTTTCATTTCTTTTCTAAAAGAGTTTGAAAATACAGTACACTTTACATTCATATGTAATAGTATTTGTAAATGTGAATACATGTGTATTTACTGGAATAGTCATGAATTTTTATTTGTTGCTTAGAAAATGAAGGTCAAGAGGAAGCAGTTAACCTTTGAAAGAGAAGTAGTGGCAAATGAAAGGCTTCATCTTATGTGTCTTGTTGTCAATTACATACTTCTCCAAATTGCCCTCAATTTTAACTTCATAGCCAACAATAGGTTTAATCTGAGAAATTACACACACTCACCCTGTCTAGGTCTTAGATGCTAATTATTGGCATGTTTTTCTCCCCCTCCATACTCTTTCCTTGACCCTACTATGTGTGTCATTCACAGCTCCATTGCCTGCCCAGAGTTCCTGAACATTCTCCAGTACGATTGATGTCTGTCTCTATCTTACCATACGTCATCATTAAAACACATTCTGGGCCTCCCTCTAAACCAATTCAGAAACTGAAAGACTCAGATTAATGCCTGTATTAAAAAAAATAAAAGCTGAAAGGGAAATTTCTGAAAGAAAAAGATAACCATATAGTTAATTTGATAAAACGGCATTTGAGAATATACATAAGGGATTTTAGGTTTTTTTAGACTTTAGGACTAAAATATATCTTAAATTCAAATATATTCATTAAAATTAGTATTTTAAATGAAAGTATGAATTTAAATTGTGTAATTAGTGAATGTAAATAAGTATTTAGCACAATATTGTATTATATTATTGACAAAAATCTTAAAATATTTATTTCCTAGTCTATTAACTTGAATAAACCACAGAAACTATAAATTCAACTTGAGACAAATGCTAAAAAATAGATTTTTGTGTCCTTATAAGTAGATTCAGAGAATCTATTTCTAGCTGAGAACTGCTATGTAGTAGCTCAGCATGTACTGTATAGAAAGGAACTAGTGAATGTATTCCATAAGTTCTCTCCCTGTGTCTATGCTCATTAAAGAGTTTTACGTTTTGCTTTTATAAAGGACCACAGAAAGAATAAACTTTGAGCTGTACATCAAGATGTATTTATAAATTAAGTATTTGGAGTCCTAGTTATCCATGTTGATTTAAAATTGCAGACTAGTTTTCTCTGTCAAAGAGACAAGTTGCACCTGGTGTCTGGGAGAATTCAGTATGACTAGTTAATTCAATCTGCTAATTAGTTATTAAGCTCTGCTCTAAGAGATATAGAAAGAAATATGAAGTACATTTCTTAATTTACAGTACCGATATTCTGCAATAGGTGTGCTATAATGTGGCATATATAATGCAGTGAGAACTCACTTTACCAGGTTTATTAAATTCTCATTTAGGACTCAATGAAGAGAAACAGATGGAAATAAGTCAAACAACTGCTATGTCCAGGAAGAACTAACAAAACTGTTTCAAGTTTCTATGGTCAAGGTTTCTGTTATTATATTTTTATGGTTATTTTCATAACCGAAAAGTTTCCTACTGCAAAATTCATAAAATTAACCTTTATACTGTGTTCTGAGTCATTTAGTCAGTGAAAATTGTGATAAAACAGCCACTTGTTACTATTTGCTAAGATTTGCTTAGGTGGTTGTTTCTTTACCTTGAACTTTTTCCCCATATATTTCACTTTAATGTCTTCATTTCCATATTACCAGTTATTTTAAAGAGACAATCATAATTGGAATATGATAAAAACCTATTGGGTTTTAAAATCTGTGCAAATAGCTGGGCATGGTGGTGCATGCCTGTAATCCCAGCCCTTGGAGGGTGAGACAGGAAGAGCACCTTGAGTTCAAGGCCAGCCTAGGCTACTTAGTGAATTCAAGGCCAGCCTGAACTACATAGAGAAGCTGTCCCAAAAAGCAAACAAACCAATAAAATCAATGAAAATATATTCTCGCAAAAATGGATTTTCTTAGAAGACAAAAGCTGAGCACAATTTTAATAAATGACACTCTTTCCTTTCCACCCCATGTCACAGTAAGTAAATAACTTTTACTGACTTATTTTACTTTATACAAAGGCAGCCATGTTGTGATTTAAGAAAAATAAGGAATTCAAATATCTGCAATATGTTTTATTGTAAATAACCAAGATTTTTCCTTACGGGTTATTTTTGATAACATTTGGTATCTAGTACTGTAAAATATTGAAAATATTTTGTATATGTCTTTTCTTCCTCACTGAACTTAAAATAAATGTACACATACATATACATATAGCTATATAATGTGGTAAGATATAACTTTCTCATTGCTTTCTAAGTATAAATTCAAAAGCTGCAATTTTAATATCTCTTTGATACATGAGTTATTGGGCAGAACTAATTTAACAAATGAGCTCCTGCATTTAATATGCTGTATTCATACCATAGTTTTTCAGACTAGAATTATACTACATAAATAAAAATCCCTTAGAGGTTTTTGGAGAATCAAATTCGTATGAATCATGATCCTAAAGACTTGCAACTTTCCTTAATAAACACATAAAATAAGAATGCAAATATTTGCCTTTGATAGACTTACCTTGCCCACATACTGATAATCAGATCCTGTGTACTCCTCCAGTAAGAAAAATTGATTCCACATCCAGCCACGTTTTTGACGATGCAGAATTTTGCCATCATTCCTTGGTCCACGTGTACCTAAAATCCTTCGCTGAAGCTCAGGAGTCCTTCTGAACATTATCTCTGGAGAACATAAATGTGGCAGCCATACCCAGAGTAGAAATAGTCTCAAAAATTGATATATTGTCATAGTTTACTTCGTAGCAAATCCCAACGTGGATGAAGAGAAAGCAGTCCTGTTTTACCAGACTGGATTTTACTGTGTTTCAGCTGGTTTCCAACATTTCATCAGTGTTTTGTACATCTTTTCACAAGCTTCAAACAACAAACAAACAAACAAAGTCAGTTGACATTATGATTCTTACCTATCAATTTAAATTTAACTTTTCAAGGATTTACTAATAATAGCAACCGAAATATTTTTTCTGCTTTCAATACGATTGATTTGACAAAACATTTCTTGTTTCATACAATATTTACAATTTATAAAATACAATTGCAAATAATTTCAAACAAATTCTAAAGAAGGAATCTGACTACACTTTCATTTTTCTTTTTATACTTTAACAGTTTTCAAGAATTATAAGTCTTGTATAGTGGAAAGATGGATTTTAGTTTGCATATAATTTCCAGTGTCATTTAACATAAATTAAAACTTTGAAAACAAAATCCTGATGCAAATAAATGACAGGAACCACGTATTACTTATAAAACACCATGACACTAAATTTTATTTCTTTTTCACTTTCAATAGTTCCACAGTTTCTTCTTAATCATAGGTCAAAGTAAAGTCAGAAACAGAATGAAACACATAAAAATCAGGAATGCTTCACTTGACAGCCTCTCCTCTCTTTTTCAGGTAGTCTGTGGGACACTGGGGGTTTCCTATGCACAAAAGAGTCCACTACTACAGTGAATCAATCTGTAACATAATGAAGGTCAGTGTGCAGGAAGATTGAATCACGTCCCAGCTGTACTGTGCACTTCTAACCAACGCACTGCCACTGCCCTGCTCTAGAAATCTATGAAACCCTAGTCTCACGGTGGCAATCATCTATTCACTGTTCTCTACCCGTCTTCCTCCCAGTATTTTCTCAACAAAATCTCGAACACGATTCCATTAAAATATAAATTAGGTAAGTCACTTCACTGTACAGAACACTCTTCTGGCTTCTGATCTCAGTTTGACTGAAAACCAAAGTCTACTCCAAAATACTGCACTGCACTACCTGTAGCTTCTCTGAACTGTTTCACTTTATTTCTCCACCTCATCTGCCGACTGATTCTTCTCCACCCACAAGGTTCTTGCTTCACCCAGCAGCACAATTCACGTGCTTCTTTTCTCAAGTAGGACCTTTCTACTTTTGTCCTGTATCTGAAATGCTTTTCTTGTAGATAGCCACATGGATCCCCTACATACTTCAGGTCTTGCTGAAGTACATTTCATACAGTGCATGTATTTCATTCACTTATCATGTATATATTCTGTCACTCTACTACAGTCTCTTGAATGAAGAGAATTTAGGATCTTTTCTACTGTTGTATTCACTGAACCTAGAACAGAATTTTGCAAATATTAGATACTCAATAACCTGTTTAAAAGAATCAATGAATTGTATGAATTATTAGTTAATATCAAAAATTACAATTACCTGTTCTGTGTCTACACACTCAAGTACTTATGTATAGAAAAGCATGATTTTACGTTATAATTGCTTTTATTCTCATTTATCTTATCATTGGATTATTTTTATTTTAAAATTTTGTATGGATTTTTACCTTTTGCTAAAATGAGTGGACTTTATTTCACATTTGTCACAAAAAGTGGTTTGGAAACTAAAAAGATGAATTGCATTTGTCTTATATAATCGTTCCAAGTGTTCTGGTGTTTATATTCATGCTTTCATCCACAATTATTGGTTAGCAATCTATTTACATTTTTCTTTTATTATTAAAAAGATTGAAAGGTTAATGTAAATGAGCTTTAGAAATATGATTAATAATGAAACATTATTTCCCTTGAGTATGTTAAATGACAGTGGAGCTCTACATAACATATGAATTCATACAACCTGATAGATGTAAACACTATTAAAATATATCATTAAATGCTCTACTTGAAGTTTAGCAATTATCTGATGCACAAAATTGTTCTAAATTCCAAAGCACTGACATTACAGAAACACAAAATGATTAGATTTTAAGAAGTATAAACATTTACCAAACTTACGTTTTGTCATTTTTATACATCAGGATATGCTACATGGTATTTTCTAGAAATTTATGTTGTTCCTAAAAGAAGAGTTTGTCTAATTAAGAGTTTTTGCTGTCTTTAAAAAAAAGTATTAAAATTTACTTTTAAATCACTTGCAAGTACATTCCCTATCAGTGATCACTTCTGAAACAAGTATAAACTTTCTAGTAATTTAAAAGACAAAGCACAAGTATTTGGGGAAGGAATAAGTGGAATTGTATCTCAAAAACCTGTCAATAAATAATTGACTCTCCACATTATGAATGAGAAAATTTTTTCTCTATTCTATTTTCAATTGTTCAATTACAAAATTATTAAAGAATTTTAACACAATGCATAATTTGAAACAATTAAAATATATTTAAATTCTATTTTGCATAGAGACTATTGCACAAAAATGTTTCAAACAAAAACATTACATAAAAATAGAAAGTTACATTGCCCAAAGTAATTTTCCCTGGATATAGCCTACATAGGTAGGAGCCTATATGTAGACATTTCAAAACTTTGCTTATTTATTATCAGTGCTGACTAAAGTTATAGCACATCTTCGACATTTATGTTTAATTCAGAATTATGAAATGGTTACTTGATACATTTTGTTATTTGTTTGCTGTTTCTTCAGATCTTGAAGCCTTTTGTTCTCTTTTCAGTGTGCCACGTCACTATTATAAATTATCATTACTTCATGAAAAAGAACTTACAAATTCAACTGACAGGTTTTCTTAACCTCAATCTTTCTTATTTAAACTATATCCTACAGGGTGCTAGCTAATTAATTTTCCAAAACCCATTTCACTATGAATTAAATCAATTAAAAATTCTGAACATGACTACTAATGTGACGATAACATCTGAATTTCCTATTTCATTGCAATATCTGGAATGATAATTTTTAAAAACTTTTGCTTTACATTACTGTAGTTCCAGTCTTAAACTGCAAACCTAATAAGCTACTTCTTATGTTTATAAATTACTTTCCCACTAACATGTTTCACTATTGTTCAGGAGATTATATCTTATTGAATTTCCCTCAGCAGCAAATAGCATGCTAGTAAATAATCCTTGAATTAAGTAACTGATATTTTTAAAAAAATAATATTTTTAATAAATTGGACTACTTATGATAAAAATTAATAGCTTAATTTTAGAATATGAAAATATACAAGGGAAATGTTGCACTTTTCAAAATTATATAGTGTTATAACTGAGTCAAATATGTGGAGACCAAAGTAAAATACTAAATGTTAATGAAGTTAATAAAATTCTGCAATGTAATTTTCAGTTAACAGACTTTTTAAGAAATTCATTCTAAACCCTATTTCCTTATTTTAATCTCAAATATAATTTAACATCAAATCACATGAAAGTTAAGAACTAATAAACCACTCTAGCATTCTGCATCCCCACATTTCCTTGTAATAAATGATTCTCAAATTTCAAAGTAAATTAAGAATTCTTGGGTTCCTTCTTAACTGTTAATTTTCTCATTTAGCAGGTCTCAGGGAGAGTGCATGACTATATTTCCAACCTTCTCCAGAGTTAATCCGAAGGCCATGGGACCACATGTTTTTAACAGCAAAGCTGTGGACTCGCTCAAACCTTAAATCATACTCAAAATGTGTTCATGACTTTTTTTCTGTTTAGGATTTCAAAGCCCAATATGTAACCTATTACAGCGATGGGAAAATAAAATATATAGTGACTGCAGTCAGAAAATCAGAATATTTTAAAAAATAAAAATATTTTAAAGCATTTGTCTCATTGACTATTGTATTTTTATAATCACAAGGTTTTATTATTCCTCTGAAATGCTTATCATAAGCATTACTTCCTTAGAACTTATGCAATGTATTACATGAGAGGCCAAGAAATGCAGATCACAATCTGATTTACTAATTAAGTCTTCACACATCACAGCTGATCACTTCAGCTACAATCCATCCTTGGCTAATAAAAATAATTAGTCATTCATCAGTCAATTCATTATGTTAATTAGGATCTTAATGTATGAGATTTATTTTAAATTCACCGTGTATTACAGTAATAGAAAATGCTAAAATTGTTGAGGCCAAATCCAAGTCTACATGAGCGAACAATTTATTCCTTTTAAAATTTCATACAACAAATACAGTCTAATGAAATTTCAGCATTGAGAAATAAAGGAACGTATTTCAGGGGTGTTTATACAATTAAAATGAGTCAGTGCATACTAAATACTTCCTTTTTATTCAGCTGATGCCATTTTATGCACCTAGCATTTAACAGTATGTGAGATAATTGAATCAAAGCATTACACTAAGGGCTCAAATAAAATGACTCCATATGCTTGATCATATTTTCCAAGAGTTCATTACACATTACCTACTGTGTTCTAATGTCTTGGAAAATATGTGACTCTACATTGAATATTTATCACTCTATTTTAAGTATTCTGCATATGTATTTCTGTTTAGACTGTAAATTCAAATCAGTGTCATATCTTGCATGCAAAATTACTAATGTAAGCATTCACACAAAGTGTTCAATAAATATTTCTTGAATAGTACTGAGTATTATTATTCTTTGTAAAACATTGCAATAAGAAGGAAACAGGCTCCCCTCCCTAAAAATCAAACAAAAGCAAAAAAATATATCAAGGGCCATTTACACCATTTTATCTCAAATTGTATTTGCATTTAAAGTAACAGGACTTGCATAAGATGCTGCTCCAACAGGCAGTGAATCTTTTTTGAGTGAAATATGCAGCAAAAATGTTTACTAGTCTCAAAAGTTTTCCAACAGCATTGGGACTGTTATCAATGCAGAAAGAATTCTAAAATGTTCTGGACTTTGCAGTTCTTCTCAGATTAAAACTCCTCTTCAAGTAAAACTGTTTAAATAATTTTTATTCTCCAGGAATGTGACTTATACTTAATATGTTTTTTCTAGGGATGTTATGCACTAATATTCTCATATGATACTTTGGAGAGCCAGATGTAACTGAAATAGGTTTTGATAGTGGGTAATACAACATCTGGCAGGGGTAAAGAGAAGCACTGGTAAATGAGGCTTATAATGT